ACGATTAATCAGATGCAAATATAAATACAAAACCAGTCCTAAAAGAAAGAAAAGAAGTTGACAAAAAGATTGAATCCAGTCTTTGGTGATAATATAGCATAAAGAGTGATTTATAAGCAATTTTTTGAGGCCGGGTCATTTTTGACCGGGAACACCACACGTGTGACTTTGTGCCATTTTGTACAAAATAAAAGCCTTTCAAAACAAACTCCCTGATTAAACATTAAAGTACACAAATGAAAGAAAAGTTGACAAAAAGATTGAATCCAATCTTTGTTGATAATATAGCATAATGAGTGATTTATAAGCATTTTTTTGAGGCCAGGTCCTTTTTGCTCTGTAACATCACGGGTGTAACAAGGTGAAAAATCTCCCCCAGAATAGTATGAAAATTATCCAAATTTTTTTTACAAGTAGTTATACCCTTTGTGAACAAAGTCACAAAATTACAGTCCAATGCGATAACATTAACTAGTATTTTCGGGAAAAATATAAAATGTTCAGAGCAAAAAGGACCCGAACACCACATGAGGGTTAACTACAATAACATTTGAAGGAAGTACAAAAACAGTTAACATGCACTAACAAACAAATGTTTCCATTTATAAACTTTAAGGGACGTTTCTTAACAACAGTAAAGTAACATGTGAAAACATTTCACATTTCACTCTCCTGCTACCTATTTACAATCCAAGAAAGCATGACAAATTGTGTTTTCATCTGAAAGCCAAAGTTTATGTAAGTAAAATGACAAACCAGGACATCAACACATAAAACGTTCAGTGAAGGTGTGCTGTTTTAGAGAGACTGGCATGCTGAAGAAGAGGTCAGAAGAGGCTACATCCTTATAAACAGCAGAAATGTTTACCAGTACTGTATATTCAGCAACATAGCATCAGCCATCCATACATGAGGGGAATATGTCACGTACTGAGATAAGAATAAAAGTCTAAACTTACTTCTTGATGTTGGCTGTGTTAATGTCTCGTAATCTCAACCCGATCTGCGTCGCACAGATGTGGAGACAGCTTTAATAACCTTGGGTGTGACGCAAAAACAGATGACGAGCCACTCCTAATCATTTCTCATAAATGTCCATGTAGTTTCTTGTAAACCAAGGCTGCTTGTCATGTGACACAAAGCAGCCAAGATAGCACTGTATACAGAGGTGCAAAGTCCAGGGGTCAGAAAGTAAAAGTCCTGCCATATGTTTATTCCACCCATGAACTCAGCAGCTGATTTCAGCAGAGGAGGAACCACATCATTCCTTTCAGATCACAAACGAGTCTCGAGTCAAATCCCAAGTCCTCAAAGAGTTAAAGTTAATGAGATAATTAAGTGACTAATTAAATGATGATTGTGCATTAGTGATGAACAGCTGCTGTTATTGAGAATTACAGAGGATCAGATGTTGATGTTTTATTGGTTAAAATGATGGCACCATCATGGAGATCAGTGTTTGCTTTAGTTGTGCTCTTGACCCTTGAAACCTTGTGTAAGATATCTTACTGTAACACTGTATTAGATGTTGTAAAGTAGCGAGAGCAGTGCTAATCAGTGGATCCGTCTGACCCTTTCGCAGTTCTTTGTTTAGTTTGCACCATCAAAAATGATCCAAATGAAAAGTTTGCTTAACTTTCGTTTATAATAACTTTGGAGCAGTTTTCAAACAATTAACTGTCTCTCATTATAATTTAAAATTTTTCGAGTTTGGATTGTTGTGCCCAAATCTGATTTTTAAACTAACTTAAATTTCTCATTATTCTGATTTTTCACTTCTCTGTTTTGCGCTCCCAGTTGGACCGTACCAGTGGGGGGATGTGGATGTATTTCCCCAGAGCGCTGTATGTATAGGCCCTATGCCTATGCATTGGCACATCTGACCATGCAATAATTTATCATCAGACCTCCATTACCTGTGTGACTGCACGTTAACAACCACAGATTGTCTGGAAGATGTGTGAGTGGAGTGTGTTTGATGATTACGGCCTGAACATTTTGAACGCAGGTGCTGAGGGGGTGCTAGATCATTGACACGGGGAGCTGGGCAATTCAGGACTCCAGTGGTCGCTCTTTTGCGTCTAACTTTCTCAGTTGGTCGCACGAGCACGTTTTTTTTTTCCTACAACATGGGATTAATCAGTGCATGCTGATGAACTTTTATCATAGTTTATAGTTATATGAAAATGAAAGTGGTTAACATTCAACCTGTTCTTTTTCCTCTTTTGCTATGTTATAAACAGGTGTCCTGACATTTTATCCTACCTGTCAGATTGTCCTACCAGGGTTCAGCGCCGGTCACCGGAGACACCAGCAGAACAGCAGTGGCACCGATGGCTTCAGCAGCCGAGCCCACGCTGCTCATTTTACTGCCAGCCTCTACGGCGCTGTACACCGCTCCTTTCACCATCCCCAGAGGAACATCCACCACGGCTCTGACCACGCCCACCGTGCACTCGGACACACCCAGTACCACGCCTCCCACGAATTTCAACAAATCCATGGCGTCTCGCTTTTATCTGCCTTCGTACAACAAGTGATTCCTGCGAGCTGAATATGGAAACAACATGTGTATGCACGATTATTTCATAATAATAAGTAATAATACTTAATAATACTTTTTGGGAGTATCTGCACTTTACATGAGTTTTAATATTTCTGTCAACTTTCACTTTTACTCCACTGCATTTCCTAATTAAAATGTATACTTTTACTCCGATACATTTCCCCAAGGCATATTCGTTACTTACTACAAAATAAAGTCAGAAGAACACAGACTGCAAGAAAGCAGGTTTGACGAATCAGTGGTCTGGCACCATTGCTCATGTGCAAACAAGTGCTCACACAACTGCAGATGATTTCAGTTTCCACTCAAGTCGAGTCTGGGGTCTGTGATATACAGTATAGGGTAACTTATGTGTGTTTTTAACATAAACTCGTGTGTGAAAGAGAGCTTTAGTAACTCTTTTTTTTTAGCAGTTAAGAGCTTATTATTTTATTAAAATTGTCTCAATTTGTACTTATAAAATGTGTAAATATGAGAAATATGTGAAAAACTTGCTGTTGAATTTTGTAATTTTGAACGTTCAATAAAAAAAAGAAAATGCTGTAAAGGCACTTCCCTATTCTGGAAAAGAATGAGCAGCAGCTCATTTGCATTTAAAGAGACATGCACTAATACAGCGTGTTTCTGCTTCCAGTCAAAATAGGCATTTTCAAAATGATATGTGGGGTATTTTGAGCTGAAATTTCACAGACACATTCTGGGGACACCAGAGACTTATATTACATATTGTAAAAAAAGGGGCATAATAGGTGCCCTTTAAAGGTGGAAAATGCCTTGTTAAATTAGCAAAATTTTAGTAAGGACATTAATAAGGTTACAAAAGATTTCTATTTCAAATAAACGCTGTTCTTTGGAACTTTCTATTTATCAAATAATCCTGAAAGATAAAATGTGTCAGTTTCCACAAAAATATTGGGCAGCACAGCTGTTTTCAACATTGATAATAATCAGAAATGTTTCTTGAGCAGCAAAGAAACATATTAGAATGATTTCTGAAGATCATGTGACACTGAAGACGGAGTAATGATCACAGGAATACATTTTAACATTTATTTAAAAAGAAAACTGCTATTTTTCATTCTGATAATATTTCATAATATTACCGTTTTTATCTAATAAATGCAGCATTTCAAAAACATAAAAGAATTCTACGGACCCAAACACTGAACAGGGGGGGGTGTTTGTTTGTTTGTTTGTTTGTTTGTTTCAAATGCACGCACACACACAGCAGTGAGTAGAGAGAGTTCAAATTTTGAGAGTTCCTGAACTTTGGTTTCATGGGGAGATCGTCTTATACACACCCTTGGTTTGTTTGTCGGACAGATCGCCTGTCAGTCAAACTCCATGCTAAGCGTGAATTCACATACTTAAGTTAAGCACTAAGCATTCAAACACTGAAAATAGACACAGCAGAGACAATTTTCACAAAAGCAAAATGTGTGACATGTAGTTTAACTTTAATTAGCATAACTGTCATACATGTGAAATGATCAGTGCTGATTTATGATAGTACAATAAGTCATTTGTAGACATTGTCAAACTATTATTACCTGTGAGTGTATAAAATATTGTCTTTTTCACATCATATTTTTTTCTTCTCGATTTTTGTCAAATTCCAGATGATTTTCAGATCAAAGTTACCGCATGGTGCTTTGAGTGTTCAAGGTTTCTTTCTTAGAACAATGCTTTTAACCTTTAATTCTTCCTAGTCATCTAAAACTTTTATAACACCGTCAGCCACACTCTGCACAACTTTTCCTGGTGCTTTGACAATCTCTTTGGTTCCTCCGGCCACCGCGCCAGTCACTGGAGACGTCAGCAGACTGAAGACGGCATCCACTCCTTCACCGGGTGAGCTGGCACTGTCGATTTTACTGCTGGCTTCTTTAATGCTGTCAGCGGCTCCTTTCACCATCCCCACCGGGACATCCACCACGGCTCTGACCACGCCCACAGTTCCCTCCGCCACGCCCGACGCCAGGGCACCCACTGCTTTGAAGAAATCCATGCCGTCACAGGTTTCCTGCCAGACAGCATGTTTGTTTGTTATATTGTTTTTTACTTCGATCTACTACAACATTTGTGTCCCTATTTTGTTCACCCTTTTGAATTCCTGCAGTCCTGGAAATATTTATATTCTAGTCAAAAGGGTAAAAATTGCATGTGCATTTTACTTTATTAAACTCCTTAAACTTAGTTTTTTGTATTATATTCATCCACTTTAGATTTATATGTGCATATGTATAAATGTAGCCTATATTATGTAAACAATTAAGAGTGTTATCATCCATGCACACAAACATTCATGAACATATGCATATGTGACCCTGGACCACAAAACAAGTCATAAGGGTCGATCTCAAATGTTCATCTGAAAGCTGAATAAATAAGCTGATCATTGATGTATGGTTTGTTAGGATTGGACAATATTTGGCTAAGATACAACTATTTGAAAATCTGGAATCTGAGGGTGCAAAAAAATTGCCTTTAAAATGGTCCAGATTAAGTACTTAGCAATGCATATTACTTATCAAAAATTAAGTTTTGATATATTTATGGTAGGAATTTACAAAATATCCTCATGGAACATAATCTTTACTTATTATCCTGATGATTTTTGGCATAAACGAAAAATTGATTATTTTGACACACACACAATGTATTGTTGGCTATTTGCTACAAATATACCCATGTGACTTATGACTGGTTTTGTGCTCCAGGGTCACATATATGTAGCCAACAATGTACTTAATGTAATTATGAAGGCAGAATTTTTCATATTTGTGTGAGCTATCCCTTTGAACACTACGTATTAAAATCAAGATTCCCTACCTTGACCAGATAATCTCTCGGGAGTTGAAAGAGTCTTTTAAAGTTTTCTTAAACTCGAGTACACTTGTAAATACATTTAAGTTACTATTTATTGTAAATATGCTATACTAAACATGATAAAGTCAGCTATGATGAATCCAGAGTCAGTACAGACCTGAGATGACAGATGGTGTTGATGGGTTTTTTTCAGACGAGCTTCTTCAGATCAGTGTGGACTGGTGCTCAGATCGTGTTTATATACTCATTGGAGGAATGGAAATCAAACGGTGGGAGCGATTATGTACTTTCGTTTGGAGCTGAGTCTTGGATGAGGCTGTGAACTATTAACCCAGCCTGCAACTGTAAGGCTCTCTGTTAATGTTTTAGAGAGAAGAAACAGCATCTTCTCGGCATCTCCTCATCAAATCAGCTCTGATTGGATGAATTAATTTCCAGGTGCCGAGTACATGCCAATCAAAACCCTTAATCTTTTTATTTCTTGTTGAGAGAACATCCACATTAACATTAGTTTATCTGCTCTCGTTTATAAAATGCACATGGCAGTTTTTTCTGGCATCAGGCTCCAGTAGATCTTGCTTGAAGAACATGCTTAGTTTGAATGATAAAAATGAGCATGTTAGTTATGAAGAAAATAACTCAATTTAAATACACTTTCACTTTCTGTCTCAGTGCTGCTCTTTCACCCAGATAAGGCTGATATGAGGGTGTAGTAAACTGTGCTAAAGTTTTCTCCCAGATAACAAGTAACCATTGAAACAATTCCAAGTGAACACTGATGCAATAGCATTACTTTTACTTTTAGTCATTTAGCAGACGCTTTTATCCAATGCTTTTATCCAATGGTATTGAAATAATATTGTAATACAATGTTGTTTCAACATCATGTTTGCATCCTCAGTTTAAAAATAAATAAAAACTAAATAAAGACACCTTTCCAGTAGTTAATTTACTTTATTTTGCCTGCAAGTGGTCCAGAGGGTTGAGTTTAAAATCTGGCTTAGATCAGACCACTTCCTCTTTTCCTTTCTCTGAAATCTGAAAAAGAAAGCATGATTTCACCAAAGAACAAGTCAATACAATATGGTCACATTCAGGATTATTTACTTTTTCCAATGGCTCAACACACACAAAATAACATCTTGTGATTTTAGTATCATTAACTATCATCATTTAATCTATCAGTGCTTAATAAACATTTGTAACTGTACGAGCTATAAAAGGAGTGTCCAGTTTTCCTCCTGATTTATCTCTGCAGCCTAATAAAACACTCCTGAAACAGTGGAACAAGTTTAGTTGCATCAGTGAGGACGAATCATTAAAGCAGTCATCAGGGATCAGGAGATAAGATAAAACCCCCAGTAAAGTGATTATGCTGTTAAATGTGACACGATGTATAATCAGTGTCATTGTCATCAAGGTTATCATTTCTGTAATTGTCCTCAACTGCATAAACTCCTCCCACTAAAAGAAGGAAAGCAAACACTGAGTAATAGATGCCATGCATGTGTATTTCTCAATAAAGCTCATATATGTGCTTATATGTCCTCATACATGTATGTGTCACTTCAAGGGATCTGCTAAATGTTTTTGGAATCTTAAAACATTCCTAATGAATGTTTTTACTAACTCAAGACGCACATCTCTATGGTTTACTGAAACACTGCTAAGTTATTTAATTACAACTAAGTTTTTTTCTCAGCCTTTGTTTCGCGTCCTTCATTGAAGGGTGCTTCGAGTGTATCTTCGAGTCCTCCAACGATCTTTCTCTCACCCACAATCATGTGCATGCATTCCAATTCACGTAAAGTGTTGGCGGACTCATGCACGCCGACTAGATACTGTATGTATTTCCGCTAAAATCTTCTCGAGCTTTCTCCCATAGCACACTGTGGTAGGAAAATTCTTTCTGTAATATAACTCTCAGTAATTACATTATATTATACAATAGCATATTATATACATTAACTATAGGCCTACAGAACCAAACATTTTGGACTGTGAAGGACTCATTCTCCGACATGCAGCTTTCCTATCCATTGTCTTAGTAACATCTCACTGTTTGGAGAAGCTCCAAACATGTCGATAACTCTGATGTTGTTCCTCTTTGAACATATTTCCAAGTCCTTGAGTTTCACTCTTGTTTTGTTTTTTCCTTTTGCCATTGTCTGTGTCAGTGCGAGTCTCGCCCAAATCCTGTTTGTTCAGGCTTCCGTCACGGTATTTGTAGAGGTGGAATAGAGAATCTGAGAAGTCCAGGGCTACCATGTCGTTTATAGCTGCAAGCAGCAATTACCGAGGTTCGAGCACCTAAGGCATTTAAGTATATAAGGAAAAATACATTATTTTAGCAAGGCGTACCCACCTAAATCAATTATTTAAAAAGCATTTTTGCCAAATCTAGGTAATTTACCATATATGTTGTTTTTTAATGTTTATGAATGTTATCACGCCAGCTGTGGTCCGATCCCCTTAAAACTTTGCATGCTTGTTTAAAATCACCTGTCGCATGTGCTCAGCAGGTTTTGTGAAGTTTTTAGTTTTCCTTTAGGCTTTATAAGATTTTGGGTGCATTTGGACAGGCCCCATTTCTAAACGACCCCGTGGTTTGGGCGTCACTTTCTTACTTTTAAAGGGAGGGCTTCACACACAATAACAAACACCCGTCTGTCCCGGCTGAACAGTAAAGCTCGACACACACAGGGGGTTTCTGACTAAGGATTTGATTACTACGTACACTATATCTTTACATAGCAATTACTAAACTATGTCTTAACACAGCACAGATATCTGCTGATTCTATGAAAAAAAAAACAGTGTAGCACTTTCTGTCTTGTACTTATGTGTGTTTCTGCACATGTGTGGCCAAGGTCAGTATTTTCACTAAATAGGCTACTTCAACCAAAGTCCATCTTATGCCTTCAGAACATTAAAATATATGACACAGGTTGCATGATAGTATTTCGATGGTAGCGTGAAGCTGATCACATGGACGATTGTGAACATTTTTTCTCTCCTTTGTTCTCCGAAGGCTATAAGAAAGTGTTATATAATTTGGGTTGGTCAAGGCATGATAATTGCCCTTCATTTATATTGAAATCAAAACTAAGGCCAC